CCAACAGAAATAGGAAAATATTTTGTCAATCCTCCTTCAGTTTGAACACAAGTAACAGCTCTAGTATACATATCTTTAATGACTTGAATATAAGTCATATCAACACATTTCTTCTCGAGAACTTTCCAAAGGATATCTCTTGGAACCTTATCGTAAGCTTTTTCTAAATCAATAAAAATCAAATGTAGATTCTCCTTATTATCTCTGAACTTCTCCATCAAGCCTCTCAATAAATGTATAGCTTCCATAGCAGACCTGCCCGACAAAAATTCAAACTGATTATGAGAAATCTTTGTAATACGTCTTAACCTATGTTCAATTACCCACTCCAATAATTTTAAAATATGACACATCAACTTAATTCCTCTATAATTTGCACTTGTGCATTCCCTTTATTCTTAAAAATGGGGACCAAAATACTTTTCTTCCACTTTTCAGGCATCTTTTTTAGTTTTTAAAATAATATTAAAAAGTTTAGTAATCACAAAAAAACTCCCAAATCTCCTAAATATTTTCACACATCAATTGGGATATCAGGTCCTACAAACTTACCACTCTTGGTTTTCTTTAAAGCCTCATCAACTTTTTTACTAATGCAACGGTAAAAATGAAACATTTTATTATTATTAAAGATATTAAGATCGCTGTCATTAAAAAATTTATCAAAATAACTCATCCACCTATGTTGAATATCTTTTCTAAGAAAATCACTTTTTATTTTCATCTTTAATATGTTGAATATCTTTTTCTAAGAAAAGTACTTTTTGATTTTCATCTTTAATACACTTTACTTGAGTTAAATCTTTACTTTTCTTTTCTCTTTGTTTGACTAGTTTATACATATATGTTTCACTCTCCTTAGTATCTAATCTATTATAAAGATCATTAAAAGCAGAATTTTTGGCGTCGCAGAATTTTTGGCGTCACAGATTGTTCTTTTAGACTCCCTGCGGGTCGTTTGATATTTTTCTCAGTTTTCTAAGTTTTTACATTTAAACCAATTTTTATAACATAACATGAAAACAATATAACTTCATTGTCTTAAAATAGATAGCAAGTAAATACTACCAAGACTCATTAAAATCTCATGATTCTATACGCTCAAATTATGAAGGACCCAAAACTACTTACTAGAGGTAATCAATCAAATTTAATTGCAGGATCTTTATCAGAACCGAAAGGTGAGTTGTCTAATGAGCCCGTATAGATCTAAAGTGAACAGTTGTCAAAAGGGCTATTTTTAAGCTGATCTTGTCTGACATATGACCATGCCGCATCTAGTTATAGCTATGGCTCCCAATTAATAGACTACTAAATCATAGGACACATGACATAATTAATAGTGTGAATCATATGCATACAATTTATATGACGCTCTTTGTAAACATAGTTCTATATATAGATGCATATGTGTGTGTGTGTCTATATATATATATATATATATATATATATTAAAAAATGCTAGCATAACAAACAAATCTGATTATATTTAGTTTGAAAAAAAGTTTACAAAGAGTCATCGCCATATAAAGTGTAAGCATATGATTACAAGAAAATATAAAGGTTGACTTAAATTGTGATCATGATCTTGATTTAAGTAAGCACAAAATCAAGAATAGAGCATGGAGTATACTTATCATGAAGTTAAAAAAAGGCATTTGTAAGGATGATTCCCTTCCAGTTATGATCTGAAATGACTACGCATAAAAAGGGTACGAATTTTAAATTTGAAGTTGAGCCCTCTTAGATTGATATATATGATTTAATCATAAATTTCTTAAGCTGCTCGAAGTTCTTACTTAGTTTATATTGTTGAGGCTTATCAAACTAGAGAAGTTTCATGCGTCCTGCTCGACAATCAGACATGTAGAGTGGACTCCAATCCCGCATAGCCTTCTTTTGGCTTGTCAGTGAGTAAGCCAGCCAACAACACTGAAAGCCCGACCTTTTCTTGCAGCAATCCATCTCTTCTAAGCTTCAGCGCTGCATCCTTCCAGGGACAGAAACTCCTTTGTGTCAGGAACCAAAGGCCAGCAGAAGGAAATAGAAAGCAGAGAAAGAGAGAGGATAGGTGAAAAAATTCACTAGGAAAGAAAATGAATTGGATTGTCTTTAAATCAAGGTAGGGGGATACATTTATATAGATAGCTCAAGGTAAGTTTGTAAAATACAATTACACAAGTAACCCATAATTCAAAGAACATAAAAACAGCTCTTACAATTAAATCTAATGAATTAAAAGGACAATAAAATACTTTTACTTTCTCAACTCGACTTGCAAAGGCTATAAGAGTTTTGGAATTCTACATGCATGGTCCTATGAAGCTTTTGTAATTGGTTAAAAAGGTTGAACCTCAAGGGCTTCACATCATCAAGTCAATACCAATGAGACTTGCCTACTTTACCCACATATGAAGAGGCGCAAATCTCCAACATTTATTGAGCCATAGGCACCATCCATTTTTCTCTGTATGTAAGAAAATAGATTCTGAAATGGAGCTTATAATTCTAATGTGGAGATAACCAAGGTTAAGACTTATGACCTATCCTATGGACATAATGTGTCATATTATTTGTTATTTAAATAAATTTATGGTATAAAACACTTTAAAAATCTTACAAATATGTATTATCATTTTTTTTGACAAAACATATGATTGAATTACCAATCCTAATCTGGTATGAAAAAATCAATATAACAGGGTCTGACAGTTGTTACTATTATTATTTCGCTATTTGGACTACTTCCAAATTGACATCTTATTAACTCCAACCTTGCATATAGAGGATCGGGTTTGGCATAGCCCATAATTGTCCAAGATTTATATCACCAGACTTTGTGTTTTTGAAATTTTAGCTCTTCCATTATTCGAACCATGTGAGAAATAAAGGACCACGCGCTGCCATACAACCCTAAGAAGATCTTGGTTACTACACATGGCCACTGCAGTTATATTAAAAACTTTCAAAGCTACATAAATTTTTTTAGCATTTGTCTTTGATTTTCTCATTTTTCCATATAATTTTACTTTCTTTGTCGTACTTTGCACTTTTTTGTTTCTTTTATAATATTTTTATTTTATCATTATTTTTATTTTACTTAATTTATTAATATATTTCATATTTTCTACCCTTGATACTAATTGTCTCATTCTAGAATTCCAAGTCGACTTCAACAAGTAAAGATAGTTCATTTGAGAGAGATGCAAACAAATAATTGTCTTAAAAGATGAGTTCTCCCCTCTTTCAGGCAATAAAAAATACTTTATATTTGCATCGAAGTACTTGAGTAACAATGTTTTAAGATGCAACTTGTTCATGCCAACAAAGCATTTTTTTTAAGGACTTCATGTAACCTTGATCTTGTTTCCAGTTCAAAGTTTCATCCCTTGGACGATGATGGGAATTTAATTGTAGTGCGTGGTTCAGCTAAATTAGAAATTTTTTAAATTAGGTATATATATTATGATATCTTCATAATTAGGGGTATTGTTCTCTACAATTTGTTTTCTTTTCATATTCTACTACTGCCAATTTATAGGCCAACAATAATACAACAAACTTAACTCCTTCCAACACATCAAACACCTATCACCTGAATAGCCTTACTAATTATGTTCATCAAGAAGAAAATAAGACGTTTATACCACAAGATTAATTCACTTTCCAATTACAAAACAAACATTGTCTGAAAGATTCTAAGATTTGTTCATAAAAAGCAATACGCTAAAAAGTATTATAAGATAATGAAATAATACCAAGTGCAAGCGTTAACTGGAATTGGCCTTCTGTATGCTTCGCTGTGACATGGTTAAGTAAAAGAACCTGAAACACAGAAACAGATTTTATAGCATGTTAAAATAAATAAACTCAATTAAAATAGTTGTCCCATAGAATGAATATTCATTTTTTTTTAATGTTATACATGAACAGGCATATGGCATACTGTTTGTAATATTGATAAAAAAGTAGAGGCCACTTGAACTTGCTAAACCTTTGACTTGTTAACTTGGGTAGGCATAATACACAAGGGACGCATAATGAATCGACTTTATTTTTACTAAAATGCCAAGCAATGCCCATTTAACAATCCATAAATAGCATGAACTATATAGCCCGGTACTTCTAAAAAAAGCGTTTCACCAGTGTCGGACACGTATCAGTCACCAAACATTGTCCAAAAAGTCCAGACACTTCACCAACACTACAAAATATGTCTAAATTTTTTTCAAGCTAGAGCACATCCGAGACACATCTCAACACCGCATCGGACGTGAGCTTAACACAATTTTGAGAAAAACATGACACGGGAAGTAGAAAATTATAAATATACATATAGCCTTAATTATACCTCATAGTCAAAACCGCCTCATCTCTCGTCATGTTGAAGCTCCCTCTAGCATTCATCAAATTAGAACATCGAAGATGCATTCAATATTCATCAAAGTCGGGCATTAGTAGTTCCCTCTTTGTAATCATAGAATATTTTTAAAATTTTAGTAGATAAGTTGAATTATAAGTTTGATGAATTCTATTGAAGCATATTATATCTAATTTTAAAAATCAATTTTAATAAACATAAAATTTTATAATATCAATTAAATTTATGAAGTTAAATTTTATTCTTGCATAATTTGTGTTGTGATATTTTCAATAAAGAATAATAAATATATATATATTAAACTAATAATTAATTAAATATAAAAACCGTGACCATAATATGTCGTGTCTTATTTTTTTTAATTATGTCGTGTCCCTGTATCGTATGTCATGTCCGTGTCCGTGCTTCATAGAGAGTAAAAAGGAAATAAGCATTACAGCTAGCATAAAAACAATACAAAAAGCGGCCTCTTAGTTTTTTAAGGCCTATAAAAAATCAGTATCAAAAGCATAGATAGAGTCATTATGAATCAAGAAATTAAGTAAAGTTGTTGTTAGCATCGTACCACAATAGCCAAATTCGTTTCAAGTTCAACTTTTGGTTAGCGTTGTCAAAGAAAGCTCGTTGTTAGCTCACAGCTCATGTTCAAATTGTTCATTGACCGTGTTCAACTCGTTTTTGGTTCGAAATAATCAAATAATTAAGCAACTATGGGCATATAATTAATTTTATATATTTATATTAACTGTTTAAATGAGAAACTTGTTTTAAGATTTTTTTGTTTAATATTTATTTGAGTTCAAGTTATTTTTTTTAATAATTTGAACTAAATTTGAGCCAAATACAAGCTGTATATGAGCACATTAAAATAAATTGAACACAAACAATTTTGAGCATAGGTACAAATTTTTGAACAAGTTGAATACAAAAGAACACTAAGCTCGCTTAAGCTTTGGCTCATTTATAACCCAAGACTATGCAATCTTTCTTTTTTATTTATATACAATGTGATTGTCGCAGAGACTATCAACTAAGGGTGTAAGAAATTCAAGTCGATTTGTGAGTCAGCTCACACTCAGCTCAATAAGTGGCTCATAACAAGTCGGGCTCGGGCTCAGGCTCAACTCGATAAGTGTCTCGTGAGCTAAGCTCGATGAAATAACAAGTCATGCTTCGTTGGCTCGTGAACCGGCTCATTTATAAAAATATTAATATAAAATATATTCAAAATATATTAAATTTTAAGACATTGTCTTTAAATTATTAAAATATTTAAAAAAAATACATTTTATATTTTGTATTAATTGATTCCTTATAGTTTATCCCCAATTACTTGTTCTATTTGTATTTCATTATAATGTTAGATATGGTTTTCTTTCTATAATAAACAAGTAGGCTCGTGAACAGCTCGAGCTCAAACTCAATTAATTAATCAAGCTCAAGCATAGAGTGGTTCAAGCTCGACTTGACTCGTTTACAGTCCAACTATCAACTTCAGATCAAATTCCTAAGCACTTTCATGTGTGGGGGAGATTCATTGTGGGTGGATAAAAATGATTGTTAGGCCATCAAAATCACAAATTATTGGTCGCAAGTGATTAGATAAAATGAGTCACTTTACCACATGTTCCCATATAGAGCATCAATTAATAAATGGAGAAATCCTCAAAACAAGGCAGACTAAAGGGTCTTTTTTTTCACACAATCTTTCTTCCTAAACTATGGAGACCAGTCTAACAAATTAGGATACAGCTACAGTTTCACAAAACCCCAGCAAGATCTCATAAATTATTAAGGATGTGATTTGGACGTCAAATGGTATACTACACACATTAAGCCCATTTAAATAAACGTTTTCCTAAGATGATAAAGGACTTGCACTAGCTGAGATTTATGATGGGTTGCCACTTGAAGCCTATTTATACTTATATTTTAAAGTGTAATGCCCCTTCCAACAAATATATGAATTTTACAAATTTGGTCAATTTTTTTTGGCAAAACAAAATCTTTCTCATATCCATTTGAATCACTTGTATGCTTCAAATTTGAGAAATATTATGCATTCCAATTTAATATGGGTGCTATCTTTCTTTTAAACATTAGAAATGCCTAAAGCTTCTTTAATATGTTCAACATTTCTTGAGATAAGGTTATCCTATTCCTCACCTCGAGTGGGCTTTTCATGTATCATTTCATGGGATAAAGGCTGAGAACGTGATTATATTCACTGAATCCTTTCTGTGATGCACCAAAATGCTATTGGAGAGTGTAAATTCTCTATTTATATACCTTTTTTTTCCATCCAATCCTTAAAAACATAGCAATCCTAAAAATAATTAATCACCTGATCACTCTAAAATGATTATTTTTTTATTCAATTTATCCTTGAGAGATGGGAAGTAGCAATCACCAACACTTGTTTTCAGTTTGGAATGTTTACTACTACTACGAGTTGTTCTAGGTTAGTCCGTCCTCTTAGCGCCAATTTTGTTTGGGGTTTTATTAAAACATTAGTTGATTGCATCCCTTTGTCAAAACTATAAATGAAGATTGGTCATTTCTCATCGACATTAGAAATGAGGGTGGCATGCACCCTACTCTTCTTAGTATTTAGAACTTAGCTCCATTTAGGTTATTATGGATGATTTTAGAAAGTTTATCTTCTCGAATATGGCCAACAGATTCAGCATTTCATGGTTCTGACTTGGGCATATGGGTCAATGCAATCATGAATACCAGTCTCCACAAATTAGACTGCATGCTTCTCTTCCATTAGTTGCTCACGCTTTATGCTCTTGTTGTACCAATGTGCCATGTGCTTTAACACTGATTCATCCCTTCTGAGTTTTTCTATGACAAGGTCAACTATGGTGACCTTTTCAGTTGTGCTAGTAAACCGATTCATAAATATCTCCTCTAACTCAACAAAAGTCTTGATGGAGCCATATAGAAGCTCAACAAACCACCCAACCCAAACAAAAAATAATAATAATAAAAAAAAAAAAAAAAACTCTAAAAAGTTACCAATAAATTAACAAAAGAGTAAAGCATGTATACCCCATGTGTTATAGCATGTATCCTTAAAATTAAGCCAAGTGATGTCAGGGATTGCCATTTCCATTGAATTTCAGTGCTTTGAATTACCCCATAAGACTTGATTCAAACACATATTATGTCAAGAATGGATCAACTTTTATGTTTGCTTAAAAGCTATAACTATTTAAATTTTCTCACTATATAAGCGTTTTGAGCAGAGTTGTAATCACTATTTCAAAGGGAGCTTGGCTTTCTGGAGTCGTGGGATGGACATTCCCAAAATTTATTTCCATAAAGAGACATCTTGAACTCTAGAAACATATGGAATTGAGATCAAATCAGCTTCACTTGTGGATGGAATATTTGTGTAAATAGTAGGTTTTTTATTCCACTGGAGTTGCATAATATGTTCATTTGTGTCATGCACTTTTTCATTTTGGTAAGGAGGCAAACATCCTTGTCTTTCGTCTGCATAAGTCTTTACATTAGTAGTTGCATATGGACCATAATAGTGTCATCAAGGATGTAGTCTTCGTCTTTGTTTACTTGTTCATCATTTTATAAAGAAGGATCAATATGTTCCTCTTGCTTTTATATTTGTGATGAACGCTCCTCTGGAAGGGGATTGGGTGCGGCCACACTTGACCAAAGTGGGAAAATATATGGTAAACTATGCATATATAGGTTCTTTGCATACTCAACCACGTAAACACCTTCGATTTCCATTCACTGCTGATTCTCTTTCATCTTGGACGTTAAAATGAGGCCTCCAAAAATATTACATGGACCAAATTGGCATAATTTCATTGGTCAATTCAACATGGCCAGAATTTTCAGCTTCATTGGCTTTAACAGCCAATTCATAGTAGAATCCCCTTAAAGAGGTTACAGCAGTCCTTAAAATATGGAACGACTCTGATTAGTCGGGAAGAAAAGATCCGAGAGTGGTGGTGGGTGGCGTTGGCGAAGTGATAAGGAAGCCGGTGAGGGCCGAAGACTCTGGGGGTGATTTGGAGGCTAGTAGGTAGGCTGGAGGAGTGGGACGGCTAGAAAATGCAAGAAGATTGGAAACCAGGTGCTGGGGTGAAGGTGATAGCTGGACATCACTGGTGTGTCGCTAGAAAGGGGAGGTAGGGTGCTGGGGTGGAGGCCAGATGGATGGAAAGCAATAATATGCTGCAGGAAAGGGATGGCGGTGTGTTAGGGCGCAAGTTGGAGAGGCCGGCGGCTATCGGGAGTGGAGGAGAAGGGTGGGGAAGAGAATAGAGGAAGATACAACACCACCTCGGAGCATGATACACCTGAAGCACCACCCATCGTTGGATATAGCCCTAGCAGGGAGCGAAGACTCTAAGGAAAATTCAGCAACATCAACAAGGAAAAACTAAACCCTACATCCAAAAAACAA